GAATCCAGGGTACCTCTGACGTTGATTCGCCGATCTCTTGAAGAACATTGAATGTCATTAAATTTAATTGAACACAGTGATTTATATATAACTTTTCATTTTAAATTTAATTTAAAAGAATCAATTTTTTTCAATGCAACTCAAACAAAATGTAAGAAGGCATGTATAAAACAATTAATTGAACTAAAACAGCAGACCCCCCCCCCCTCGCCTTCATAAACTGCCCAATATTTTATGAACCCCCTTTTTCCTGGCTATAAAATATGTGACCCCCCACTGTTTCCACCTCCCCACCCCTCCTGCTACATTATGACCAGTCCCCAGTGAACTCTAATAAGTCTTATTAGAGTTCACTGCCAGTCCCTTACCCAATGGCCTCGTTTCCATGTTAATTTATTTTAGCATGTCAGGGGCAGATAAAGATTATATTCCCATGTTTTCTTGGACGAATGTGTTCCTTGCTGTTCTAGCTTAGGCTCAATAACAAAGTAATTTTCAACCCTACTGAGCACAAAACATGAGTAAGTATTTGACATGAAAACGAGGACATTGGGTAAAAGAGAATAATCGGTAAGGTTTATTAGCTTATTGTAATAACCTCTTTTTGGCACTGATTTTTCAGCACAGTCTCCGGGATAAATAGATGAATAACATCATTTGACAAAAGTGTGCAAATAGATGATAATCATCTGTCTCGGGGAAACCTAACCCCGTTCCTAATCTAACTCAAACTCTAACCTCTTACCCTAATGTAATCTTAATCTAATCCTAATCTAATCTTAACCTGACACTAATCTAAACTTGATGACCTTTTTGTCGTCTAGTGGAACAGTAGAACGCCTATGCTGTCGTCGAGTTTGGGGCAGAGTATACAAGGATTCACTTTCCGGAGATTTCTGGGTCGGAGATTTCCGAAACACATACGGCCCAATTTCAGGGTGAATGATCAGGAGTTGCGGGTTTTTAACGAATTTTATAAACAATTTTAATGCTAAGTTCTTTGTATGTTACTATTGTTGTTATTTTGTTATTATTTTGTTGTTATTTTATTAAATTTAATGCTCCACCAAAACTATTCTAAAAACATTCTTAATTATTCAAATGACTACACTTTAAGAGGAGATTTTTGTGTATGTTACGTAACACACGCTCAAAACTAATGCGTATAATATATCACTTGAGGTTATGATAAAATTCAAAAATTTTATTTTCTGATACATTTCTCAATCGGCAAACAAACTTAAAAAGTATGTTTAGTGCTTTATCGGTAAAATAATGCTAAAATGAAGAGATTTTAGATGATACGCCAAAGAGAAAATGATGTCTGAAGTTCAGAAAGTTTTGCTTATATGACTGTAAATATGGCATCAATTTTAAAGCATCATTGACATTGATAATTGTATTTTAATTGACAATTTTTAATTATTATTTTATGTTTCTCAACTGGCAGATGCATTTAAAAAGGTAGCTAATTCTATAAACTAGAGAATAAAGCTAAAACAAAGTAATTTTGAGAGGGACGCCAAAAAGATTTTAGGTTTTGAACACTTTTCATTGCGGATACGTGACGAACGGAGCCAAAATAGCGACGAACGGAGCCAAAATCTCTCTCATAATACTTCGAACTGTTCGGGCAGCCTCGTACCCAGGCTCTTTCGTAATTAAAAGCGTTCAGAGCTCTGGGTGAGCAACTAGGCGCGCGGGGATTTTTGGGGAGGTTGCGGCAAGGTGCTCACCCAGAGCTCTGAACGCTTTTAATTACGAAAGAGCCTGGGTACGAGGCTGCTGTTCGGGCATGATCGTATGCCAGACAGGGCTCTCACTTCCAGCTACAGTCATTTCCTTAAATTTACACTGAAATTTCCTTAGAATTGAAAAATTTCCTTAAAACCGGAAGTGGCAATAAAATTGGCGGGAAATCACAAAATATTGTTGTTTTCGATTTAGAAGTTTTTAGAAATATAAAAAGGCAGTTGACTTTGACGTTGAATTCATGTTAACTTGTTTTGTTTACGCGCAGGACACGCGTGTCCCCAGAGAAATAAATGTGTTATAACGATAGTGATTTGCTTTTCTGGAAAAAAATACAAAATAAAGTGTTGTTTGGATGTAATCTTTTACGAATTGTAAGTGATTATGTAAAATATTATGAATGTCAAAGAATTTCCTTAAAATTTCCTTAAAAAATTCGTTTCCTTAAAAATTTCCCTAAACTGGTTCAAATTTCCTCAGTTTAAGGAAATTTCCTTAAAAGTGAGAACGCTGGTGCCAGAGGTTCTCCCACGCTCGTAGGGGGGATAATGAGGGATACACGAGGATATCCCTCATTATCCCCCCTACGAGCGTGGAAGAACCTCTGGCACCCAGGGTAGCATGATCGTGGACGTGACGTAAACAATACCCAGTGTCAGTGACAATACCGCCTTACGTGGGGTGGGACAGCATCAATTGACGAATTAGCGACGAATTTGATGCTGTCCCACCCCGCGTAAGGCGGTATTGTCACTGCGTATTGTTTACTTCACGTCCACGATCACGCCCGAACGTCATACACACGTAAAAACACACAAGTTGTAACAAGTCTGCAAACAAGTTGTTACAAGTCTGTTCACAAGCTGTCAACAAGTTGTGTTCGCACTGCTTGTTCCCAGTTTGTTGTAACAAGTTCAGTTGAAACAAGCTGTTAACAACTTGTAAACAAGCTTGATGGCATTATCAGCCTTGTTACAAGACTGTGCTAACAAGTTTGTTACAGCCATGATATAACGAGGATGTTGCAAGGTTGTCAAAACAAGGTTGTAACAATCTTGTTATATCAAGCATGTAACGGACTTGTCAGAACAACCTTGCAACAAGTCTGATAATTTCGACAAGGTTGTTACAAGTTGTCAACAAGTTGTTCCAAACCTGTTGACAACTTGCGACAAGCAGTGCGAATACACATCTTGTCGACGGCTTGTTGGCAGATTTGTTACAAGATTTTTACGCGTGTAGCCATCATGTCCTAGCCATAACTTATTCACCCGAGCAGTGGAACGCAAAGAAATCTTGTTTATCGGAACAGTGAAACAAAGAAATCTTGCTCATCAGAACAGTGGAACAAAAAAACAACTTGGAAGAGATACCGCATTAGGGGCCGATTACATCATAGATATAGGAGATCTAGATTGCTAACGCATACCTAGCGCAGGCAAAAAGATACATGATAAATGGGCAAAAAGACTATAGATTCTATTACGAAAATCAGGATTTTTGCATTTTTTGTCGTCGCATTGTTTCGAAACTTATTCGGTCAAATTTTATGGTAAAGAGAAACTTACCGCGAAGATTTTGAGCATATATATGATTAAATTGGATGAAAAATCGCAAAATTATCCAGCGATAAAAGTTCGTGTGAAATGGTCAGTTGGAGCGTTTTATTGCCAGAAATACTGTGCTATGTTAACATCTAGCCTTGTGAATGGTGTTTTATACTTGCATCTCTCATCATCATCTGCTCTGTCCTCATAATTATGAAAAATGAACTGTTATGTACCCCCCCCCCCTTGCTTGTTAGAGAAGTAAACTGATGAGAGCACTGGATGAGGGTCTATCATCTATGGTCTGTTATAATTTGCTTTTTATGCAAATAGTGAGCAAAAATTAAAGCAAAACTGTACAAGTTACATATATAGTACTATATCAGTACTATACACGAACTTTTATCGCTGGATAATTTTGCGAGTTTTCATCCAATTCAATCATATATATGCTCAAAATCTTCGCGGTAAGTTTCTCTTTACCATAAAATTTGACCGAATAAGTTTCAAAACAATGCGACGGCAAAAAATGCAAAAATCCTGATTTTCGTAATAGAATTTATAGTCTTTTTGCCCTGTTGTACCGCCATCTTGGATTTATCATGTAGGCCCCGCCTGCGCTAGGTATGCGTTAGCAATCTAGATCTCCTATATCTATGGATTACATGGAGCACTTTCAACCTCCATTTTGTTTTCTTGTAATAAATAGACACTACCACGCATGCTTGAATAACTCATGAATAATTTCAGCCCTGGTCGGTTGAAACGATTACACGACAAAATTTTCAACCCAGGGCTGATCATGAAGCAACTAGGCCCTGGATTGAAAATTTTGTCATGTAATCGCGCGTTTAATTGATTTTGATAGAGTTTTGTATCACAGACAGGGCTGAAATTTCAACCAGGTCAACATGGCTGATCAGTTCAACCCCGGGGTTGAAAATGCTCCATGTAATCGGCCCCTTAATAAACGTTATTACCTGCAAACTATACTGGAAAAAATATTATAAACATTTTTCATCGATATAGATATATGCTATGGAATTAAAATATTTGATAATTAAAATATTTGAGAACCTGTAAATTTGGGTGATATGAAATAGCATATATTTATTTTAATAAAACGGTCATTTCATTTATTTTCTGCTTTAATTAAGTATCTTTATTTGCTTCTGATCCAGTTGACGCCATGTACGCTACAGCGTACCTATTTTTTCTTTTTTACACATAAAATACAATGTTTCTTATCATTGATTGCCCGTGTAAAATTGACTGTAAAATGATATTAATAGGAAATTACACTTGCTCTCGAAGTATTAATGAAATGGCACACTTGTGTTTGAAGAAATAATTATATAAATATGTATTATAAATATTTCGCGAAACACACGTGTCATTTTTCATTAATATACTTCTCGAACCGTGTAATTTCCGACACTAATATTGTAATAGGAAGTAAAATAAATACATATTTTATGTCTCTCAGGTAATATATAAACGATGGAGTTCTCCGAGAGTAATATCACATACGTACCCTTTTCTAGATATATGCAAAATTAAAAGCAAAGAAAAACAAAGGATGTGAAGTCGGCACATCTTTAAAGCACCAGAACAGCATTTTCTGGTGTTTTCTGAATTCGCAAAAAATATTGCGACCAAGTTCCAGTAGAGAGACTTGTAAAGAAATTGGGAAAACTACAAGTAACAACGTTTTATTTCAGTTATGACTTTACAAAATGTAACAATTGTATCACTCAAATTTTACCTAAAATGCCCAACTTTGAACTTCAATTTTACTTTATGATGGGTGTTATTTCACCCCATACATACACCCCTCACTACGTTCCAGCCCTAACCCATTCAATCAATTGTTCCTCTATCACTGTTTAAACTATGGCTATTAATGGAAAAATAGACAACAGTTATGAACTATGAGTCTACGCGAATATTATGGTTCAGCCCTTGTTACCAGTCCCTTTAACAATCGAACTTGCGCATGCGCATTTCTCGACGATCACATCAGGAAATACGCTCAATGCAAGGATATTCTTGTCGTCCATATACAACATGATAAATGCTCGCCTTTTGCTTGGCACACAGCAATCTTGGACTTTTTGAGCACACTTTTTAATACTTGAAGTACTCTGGCTTGAAGTACTCGGAGTTGAAGCACTCTTTGGGGAACAACTTCCGGTACAAACTTTCGTAGCATTAGGGTAATAACGGACAGGCTTAATGGTGGACAAATTCAAATTAGTGAGCATGTCCTGTACGGTGTAACTACATGTAGTATTCAAAGTGCTTCGCTTCGTCAGACGCGGGTTTGCAGGTAAATTTGTGTGTAATTTTCCCAAACTTTCGTCTGTAAAATTGAACAAGTCTTTTATGGACATTGGTCTCATATTTTTATAATATATGAACAAGGAAGGCAAGAATTTATGACTTAAATTTTCATTGCTTTTGTAGAATTCTTCAAAGTCGAATTTTTTCCCGCCTTTCTGTCGGAGCCGAATCTCTAGCCCGTGATTGGCCGATATCAATCCGAGCCCGCGACGTGAATCTTCGAGCCAGCGGTTCAGCAATACTTTGTACCAGCCGGAATTTTGGATCGACAGGAATTTGTGGGCAATTACCCGACCGGTAAAAAGATCCCGGATATCTACTCTGTAATTGGTGTTGGGTACGTTTTCCTGGTGGGGTAGATATAGGAAGATGGATTTCTCCAAAACGATTTCGTTCGATTTGTCCGGGGGGTTGCGGAATATTAATTTGAGAGCTCCGTATTTCGCGATGGCGCCTAAAATAATATAATATCATTATTAATTACCACACTAAACAAATATATCTTTATTTAATATACTGGATAGCTCTATCAGTTCTAAACTGTTCTCCCTAGAGGTCCAGTAAGGATCAATGACATCTTTTATTGATCCAGTGTGATACAGGAGGAAACCTAAATTAAACTAATTTTATTTATAATGGAGAACTCTATCAGTTCTAAACTGTTCTCCCTGGAGGTCCAGTGAGGATCATCTCTTATTGATCCAGTGTTACTACAGGAGGAAACCTCAACTAAACTAACTTTATTTATACTGGATAGCTCTATCAGTTCTAAACTGTTCTTCCTAGAGGTCCAGTAAGAATCATCTCTTATTGATCCAGTATTACTACAGGACGAAACCTAAACTAACATAATTTATTACTGGATATTCTACACTGTTCTTCCTGGTAGAGGATCATCTCTTATTGATTGATTGTAATACAAGATACAGGTAATCTTATTGGCTTAAAACGTGCTGATCGGCTGAACTAAAAAAATCTTCACACATACTGAGACTTCGGAGAAATGCGCAACCCTTATACAAAGCTGATCCAGAAGCTAATAATGGCAATTATTTCATGATTGAGTCAGTTTTCTTTGATATACAGCAGTTGCATATAGCATAAAGCTCTATGAATATCACATTAGACAAATGAAGGACAAAAAATGAGGACAGCTCTATAGCAAAATCTCTGTCCAAAATTAACGAAATAGACAAAATATTTTTGGAAAATCTCCTCAACCATGAATTACCAAGAGCTCTGTGACACAGGACAGAGAACTCACAGAAGGCGGACTCAGCCAAAAACGTAACCACCGTGTTTCTAATCGCACTGCTTTACGAGAGGCATTCACTCCCCTGAACGTCCACCGTTTTGAATATTTTCAGGAGATAGCGATAGCATTTCAACGGTTACGCCAAAATCATAGGCAAACCAAGATCTCAGTCTTCTGTTAGTAAGTCTGGCTTCCATATGGTCGTAATAATAGAACGTAATATAGTAGAATAATAGTTTATACATGTAAACCACATAAAAGTATTCTCTAGTTATAATCACACCACCCGTTTCGTTACTTCTAAATGGGTACTTAACCAATATTCTAAATTTTACAATGCGGGTAATACCCATGCTAGGTATATACCTGACCTACTTCGACTGAAGACAAAACCACAAGCATTTGGCAAAAGTTTTACTTATAAATATAACTAACCAACACTGGCGGCTGGTGGGGTTTGGAAAACCACTTTAGCGGTTAGGGTTAGGATTGCTCAGGTATATACCCAGCATGGGTACTACCCGCATTCTAAAATTTAGAATATTGGTTAAGTACCCATTTAGAAGTATGGAAACGGTTGATCACACCACGTATTGTCAGTTCTAAAATGTTGTATTTCGGCTGATGAGAAAGATTGTGACTCAATCTTTACGACCTTTACGACCATATGGAAACCAGACTTAAGGTCTCTATTCTGTGACTGGAATGTATACAGCTCTCGGACGCTACACATATACATCTCTCGTTCTCGGTATTTACACAGTCTAACATAAAATGAATAAGAAACTTACTTGAAGCTCTCAGGAGCCTCATCCAATCAGAACCATGGGGAAATGTCTTCTCAAGCTCTTCCAAAGACTCGGGGATTTCCACATCAGATTCCTTCGGTCTTGCAATAAGGTAGTCGCCATACGCTGCCATACAGCAAATTACGAGAAATAGAATTCGTTGACACCACATTCTCAAAGATTGCTGTTGTCTGAAATGTCTTTCTTCCCTTTCTGAATTCTAGACCCCTGTTGGTAGTTCTTTACTCTTTTGATGTCTTGAATAATGAATCGTTCTTTGTCCCCACAGGGTCTTTGTCCCTACAGGGTCTTTGTCCCTACAGGGTCTTGTAGTTAATTTTCCTTTGCGAGTCGTGTAGAACGCTTGTTAAGTTTTATTGTTTGGAACAGTTCGTTTTCCCTTTCGAGTCTTAGAACGCTTGTTGATGAGTAATAATTAGTTATCGCGTTTCAGTCCTAGAAAGCTTTTGCTGTCTAGAATGGTTCGTTTTAGTTGCTTAAAACGCTTCTGCTGTCCTGAAGATCGTTTGTTTACTGCTCTGAGTGGAGAGACTTTCGACCTTGTTCTTCTGTTCAATATTTCGTTTCCTCTTTCGAGTTATTGTATTGAAGAGTTCGTTTTTACTTCTGAGTGGATGGAAATCCGACTCTGGAATGCTCGAGTTTTCTTGTTTTGTCCTGTTACGCTTCAAAGTCCTAGAGAACACTCAATAATTGTTTTTTCTTTCGCGAGTCTTAGAACAAATTTGCTGCCTTGAATATGTTTTCTTCACTGTATCGAGTTCCTTTGAAAGATTGGCTACCAAAGACAAGTCTTCAAATTGTTTTATTTTATCCGCAAGATACTTTGTTCACCTCTTCAATGTCTAACGCAGTTTGCCAATCTTTCGATCTTGTCTCTGTTTATATAACTAAACTACCCCCGAAATTCAAGATTAAACAGTTTATAAAACCTTATCCCTTGTTTCGACTCACTCGAATAGGATTTCCTTATCAATATGCCAACACGTTGCAAGCAATTTCCCTTTCGACACCGGAAATCTTGCATGTTCTGATCCGTTGTAGATGGGGGTGTATTTTTGAAACGGGATTTAACCATCAAAGGATTGCATTCCAGTGTAATTAAAATTTTGTATAACAGAATTGTCTCAGAGCTTTATTTTAACATTCCCCAGTGTGTCCAAAATTCGGACCACTGGCCTAAAGGTGGCATCGAAGAGAAAAGGGTTGGGTAAACAATATTTTGAGTGAGTAAAATGTTGGGTAAATAAAAAACAAAACAATTCAAGGGATGGGTAATAGAAATTTATTGTCATTTCCAAATCATGACTCGCTTAAATATTGAAGACTAGTGCCAAAAAGCAATGTCAACAGTAATATGTCAATACAATGAGTTTGACTAATGGTCGCGGGTAAAAAGTCGCGTGTCGCGGGTAGAATGTCGCGGGTCGCGGGTAAAATGTCGCGGGTAAAAAGTCGCGGGTCGTAAAAAAGCTCCAAACCGTGTATTTTATTGAGTCGCGGGTTGAATAAAGTG